AGGAGACAGAAGGTAAGAGGTAGAAGGCAAGAGGTAGAGGGTAAAAGGTAAGAGGTAGGAGGTAGAAGGTAAGAGGTAGAAGGTAAGAGGTAGAGGGTAAAAGGTAAGAGGTAGGAGACAGAAGGTAAGAGGTAGAAGGTAAGAGGTAGAGGGTAAAAGGTAAGAGGTAGGAGGTAGAAGGGTGAGGTAGGGAGGTAGGTAAAAGGTAAGAGGTAGGAGACAGAAGGTAAGAGGTAGAAGGCAAGAGGTAGAAGGTAAGAGGTAGAAGGTAAGAGGTAGAAGGTAAGAGGTAGAAGGTAAGAGACAGAAGGTAAGAGGTAGAAGGTAAGAGGTAGAAGGTAAGAGGTAGAAGGTAAGAGGTAGAAGGTAAGAGGTAGAAGGTAAGAGGTAGAAGGTAAGAGGCAGAAGGTAAGAGGTAGAAGGTAAGAGGTAGAAGGTAAGAGGTAGAAGGTAAGAGGTAGAAGGTAAGAGGTAGAAGGTAAGAGACAGAAGGTAAGAGGTAGAAGGTAAGAGGTAGAAGGTAAGAGGTAGAAGGTAAGAGACAGAAGGTGAGAGACAAGAATGTAAGAGGCAGAATAAGAGGTAAAAGATATAATAAGAAGATAAATACAGAAGGTAAGAGGTAGAAGAGGCAGAAGGGCAAGAAGGTAAGACAATAAGAAGGGAGAAGTAAAGAGGCAAGAGGTAGAATAAGAGACAGAAGGTAAGAGGTAAAGGGGTAAGTAGAAGGTAAGAGACAGTAAATGCAAAAGAGGTAGAAGGTAAGAGGTAGAAGGTAAGAGACAGAAGGAGAGGTAGAAGGTAAGAGACAGAAGGGTAAGAGGTAGACGGTAAGAGGTAGAAGTGGAAAGAGGTAGAATAAAGAGGTAGAGGAGAGGCAGAAGGTAAGAGGTGAAGATAAGAGGCAGAAGGAGAGGTAGAATGCAAGACAGAAGTGCAAGAGGTAGATAAGGCAAGATGCAGAATGCAAGAGGCAGAAGCAAGATGCAGAATGCAAGATGCAGAATGTAAGAGACAGGAATAAAAAGAGGACAAAATGACAGAATAAGAAGATGGCAGAATAAAAGAGGCAGAAGAAGAAGACAATGCAAGAGGCAGAAGGCAAGAGAATAAGGACATATGAGACAGAATAAAGAGTAGGAAGGTAAGAGTGAAGGGGTAAGAGACAGAATAAGAGGTAGAAAAGAGGTAGAAGGTAAGACAGAAATGTAAGAGGCAGAAGGTAAGAGGCAGAATAAAAGATGTAAGCAAGATAGGTAAGAGGTAGAAGGGTGAGGCAGAAGGGTAAGAGCAGAAGAGTAAGATAGTAGGGGAAGAGAAGGCAGGAGGTAAGAGTGAAAATATAAGATAAAGAGAATAAGAGGTAAAGGCAGAATAAGTAGGAGACAGGAGGAAATAGGGCAAGATGTATAACAAGATATAAAGACAAGATGCAGAAGGCAAGAGGTAGGATGCAAGAGGCAGAAGATGATATGCAGAATAAGAGGCAAGAGGAGAAGGCAAGAGGCAGAAGGCAAGAGGTAGAAGGTAAGAGGCAGAAGTAAGAGGTAGAAGGTAAAAGACAGAAGGTAGAAGGTAAAAGAGCAGAATAAGAGACAGAAGGTAAGAGGTAGAAGGTAAGATGGTGAAGGTAAGAGGCAGAAGGTAAGAGGCAGAAGGTAAGAGGTAGAAGAGAGAAGGAGGTAGAAGGTGAGGTAGAAGGTAAGAGGTAGAATAAAAAGACAGAAATAAGGGTAGAGGAAGGTAAAAGATTATGAATAGTAAGACAGAATAATGCAAGAGGTAGAATAAGCAAGATGCAGAATGCAAGGCAGAATGCAAATGCAGAAGGCAAGAGGTAAAGACAAGATAAAGAGGCAGGCAAGAGGCAAAGAGGCAGAAGGCAAGAGGTAGAAGTGCAAAACATTACAAGAGGCAGAAGCAAAAGACAGAAGAGACAGAATGTAAGAGGTAGAAGGTAAGCAGAAATATAAAGAGGCAGAAGAGACAGAAGGTAAGAGGTAGAAGAGGTAGAAGGTAAGAGGTAGAAGGTAAGAGGTAGAAGGAAAAAGACAAAGGTAAGAGACAGAAGGTAAGAGGTAGAAGGTAAAGACAAAGGTAAGAGACAGAAGGTAAGAGAGGTAGAAGGTAAGAGACAGAAGGTAAGAGGCAGAAGGTAAGAGGTAGAAGGTAAGAGGTAGAATAAGAGGCAGAAGGGTAAGAGGTCAGAATGATAAAGAGGCAGAATACAAGAGTGCAGAAGTGCAAGAGGCAGAATGCAAGAGGTGAATACAAGATATAAGAAGGGTAAGAGGCAGAATAAGAAGAGACAGAATAAAAGAGGTAGAAGGTAAGAGACAGTAAAAGAAGAGACAAGTAATGTAATGTAAGAGGCAAGAGTGTAGAAGAGACAGAAGGTAAGAGGTAGTAAGAGGTAGAAGGTAAAAGAGGTAGAAGGTAAGAGACAGAAGGTAAGAGGTAGAAGGTAAGAGGTAGAAGGTAAGAGGTAGAAGGTAAGAGGTAGGAGAAGGTAAGAGACAGAAGGTAAGAGGTAGAAGGTAAGAGGTAGAAGGTAAGAGGTAAGAGACAGAAGGTAAGAGGTAGAAGGTAAGAGACAGAATAAGAGGTAGAAGGTAAGAGGCAGAAGGTAAGAGTGCAGAATAAGGGAAGAGGCAGAATAAGGAAGAGGAATGGCGAATCAAGAAATACAAGATATAAGACATATAAGAAAGGCAAGAGCAGAATGGACATAACAAGAGGCAGAAGGGTAAGAGGCAGAATGCAAGAGGCAAGAGACAGTGTAAGAGGCAGAAGAGAATGTAAGAGAAGGCAAAAGACAGAAGGTAAGAGGTAGAAGGTAAAGATGAAGGTAAGAGACAGAAGGTAAGAGAGAAGGTAAAAGACAGAAGGTAAGAGACAGAAGGTAAGAGGTAGAAGGTAAGAGGTGAAGGTAAGAGGTAGAAGGTAAGAGACAGAAGGTAAGAGGTAGAAGGTAAGAGGTAGAAGGTAAGAGGTAGAAGGTAAGAGACAGAAGGTAAGAGGTAATAAAGACAAAGTGAAGAGGCAGAAGGTAAGAGGTAGAAGGCAAGAGGTAGAAGGTAAGGAGGCAGAATAAGAGGTAGAAGGCAAGAGGCAGAATAAGAGAGATTGCGAATGCAAGATACAAGCATAATAGGGCAGAATGAAGGCAAGATAAGACAGAAGGCAAGAGGCAGAATAAGAGACAAGAGTGCAGAAGGTAAGAGGTAATAAGAGGCAGAAGGTAAGAGGCAGAAGGTGAGAGGTAGAAGAGACAGAATGTAAGAGGCAGAAGGTAAGAGAAGGTAAGAGAGACAGAAGGTAAGAGGTAGAAGTAAGAGACAGAAGGTAAGAGGCAGAAGGTAAGAGGTAGAAGGTGGGAGGTAGAAGGTAAGAGGTAGAAGAGAGGTAAGGTAAGAGGTAGAAGGTAAGGAGACAGATAAAGAGGTGAAGGTAAGAGATGAAGGTAAGAGACAGAAGGTAAGAGGTAGAAGGTAAGAGACAGAAGGTAAGAGGTAGAAGTAAGAGGTAGAAGGTAAGAGACAGAATAAGAGACAGAAGGTAAGAGGTAGAAGGTAAGAGGCAGAATAAGAGTGCAGAATGCAAGAGTGCAGAATGCAAGAGTGCAGAAGGTAAGACAATGCAAGATAAGAATGCGAAGATAAGTAGAATGCAAGAGAAGAAGGTCAGAGCAGAAATCAAGAAGAATGCGCGACATACAATGCGCATGCGAATGCGAAGATGCAGAATGCAAGAGGGTAAACGATAGGAAGGAATGCAAGACATAAGCAAGAGATCAGAATGCAAGACAGAATGCAAGAGCAGAATAAAAGAGGCAGAATGCAAGAGGCAGAAATACAAGAGGTAAGAGGCAGAAGCTGCAAGAGGTGTGATGTAAGCAGAAGGTAAGAGGTAGAAGTTGCAGGAGGCAGAATAAAAAGAAGCAGAAGGTAAGAGGTAGAAGGAAAAGACGTAGAAGGGGTAAGAGGGGTAGAAGGTAAGAGAGGTAGAATAAAGAGGACAGAAGGTAAGAGGTAGAAGGCAAGAGGTAGGCAAGAGGTAGAAGGTAAGAGGTAGAAGGAAAGAGTGAATAAAAGAGGCGAATAAAGAGGCAGGGCAAGAGCAGAAGAAGCAGGTAAGAGTGCAGAATGAAAGAGGCAGAATGCAAGAGGCAGGTGTAAGAGGCAGAAGACAAGACATGAAGGCAAGAGAAGAGGCAGAAGGTAAGAGGGAGAAGGTAAGAGGCAGAAGGTAAGAGGAGAAGGCAAGAGGCAGAAGGAAAGACGTAGAAGGTAAGAGAGGCAGAAGGTAAGAGGTAGAAGGTAAGAGACAGAAGGTAAGAGGTAGAAGGTAAGAGTGTAGAAGGAAAGAGGTAGAAGGTAAGAGGTAGAAGGTAAGAGGTAGAAGGTAAGAGACAGAAGGTAAGAGAGGTAGAAGGTAAGAGACAGAAGGTAAGAGGTAGAAGGTAAGAGGTGAAGGTAAGAGACAGAAGGTAAGGAGGTAGAAGGTAAGAGGTAGAAGGTAAGAGATGTAAAAAGGTAATGAGGGGTAGAGGAAAGAGCAGAATAAGATGCAGAGTCAAGATACAGCAAGATGATGCGTGAAATGCAGGATGCAGAATGGGGAAGATAAGAATGCAAGATGCAGAATGCGAGTGAATGCAGAGTGCACAGAAGGCACAGAGTGCAAGAGGGCAATGCAAGAGTGTGCAATGCAGGAGTGCAGAATGCAAGAGGCAGAAGGTGCAAGAGTGTAGTGCAAGAGGCAGAAGGCAAGAGGCAGAAGGTAAGAGGTAAGGTAAGAGGTAGAAGGTAAAGAGGCAGAAGGTAAGACGAGAAGGTAAGAGGTAGAAGGTAAGAGGTAGAAGGTAAGAGGTAGAAGGTAAGAGGTAGAAGGTAAGAGGTAGAAGGTAAGAGGTAGAAGGTAAGAGGGAGACAGAGAGGTAGAAATGTAAGAGGTAGAATGTAAGAGGCAGAAGGCAGGAGGTAGGATATGGAGGTAGGATGCAAGAGCAGAATAAAAGAGTGCAGAATGCAAGAGGCAGAATGCAAGATGCAAGAGGCAAGCACAAGATGGTAATGCAAGAGAATGCAAGAGGCAGAATAAGGGAAGAGAAGGCAAGAGGCAGAAGGTAAGAGGCAGAAATGCAAGAGTGCAGAAACAAGAGTGCAGAAGGTAAGAGGTAGAAGGTAGGAGGTAGAAGGTAAGAGGTAGAAGGTAAGAGGTAGAAGGTAAGAGGCAGAAGGTAAGAGGTAGAAGGTAAGAGGTAGAAGGTAAGAGGTAGGTAGAGGTAGAGGTAAGAGGTAGAAGGTAAGAGGCAGAAGGTAAGAGGTAGAAGGTAAGAGAGGAAGGTAAGAGGCAGAAGGTAAGAGGTAGAATAAGAGGTAGAAGGTAAGAGGTAGAAGGTAAGAGGTAGAAGGTAAGAGGTAAGCAATACGTGTAACCGAAACGGAAGCACACCTGT